GTAGCCCAGGCTGGCCTCGAACTCACAGAGATCCGCCTGGCTCTGCCTCCCGAGTGCTGGGATTAAAGGCGTGCGCCACCACTGCCCGGCTAGTAGTATTCTTTTATAGGTGAAATTTAATTTTTTCTTCAGTAAACAATACTGCATCCCGAGGATGGTGGTGAGTATTATGATCCCAGTACCTTGGAGCTGAAGACAGAGGAGGATCAGGAGTTCAAGATCACCCTTGGCCACTTGGAGAGTTGAGGCCAGCATGGGCAATGTAAGACCTTGTCTCAAAAAACCAAATCAACTAACCCAACAAAATAATACTGTAGTAATAGTCTCACAATTAGCCTTCTTAAGTAGAACTGGATATACATTTTTCAGAACTATAATGCTGTCAAATTGCCACCTGAAGGATATTCATTCTCATCTCACCACAGTGAATAGTAGTATCTATTTTTTTCTATGTCTTTGGCAACTGTGGATATTGTCAATCTTGCTAATATTAGTCAACGGGGGGGGGCAAAAAAGAATGAGATAGTTGTTTTAGCTTATATTTCATTGATTAGGAAATGTTAAGCTTATATTTTCTATACTAATTGAGCTTTTTAATTTATTCTCCTGTGAATGCAGCTTATCTACTTTTATTGTATTTGTTCATTTTATTGACTTTATTATTTGTTTATATCATCATCATCATCATCATCATCATCATAATCATCATCAGTGTGTGTGTATATGGGCACCTGCATGTGCATGTACCATAGTGTGCATGTACAGTCAGAGGCCAACTTGGAGAAGTGAGTTTTTTTCTATCCACATTTACTTAAGTTCTGGGGATTGAACTCAGGTCATCAGGCTAAGGTAGTATCATACTGTTCCTGAAAGTCACTAATAGTGTATCTCCTTGACATAATTTACTTGGATTTGATGTGTTTAACATACATTATGCACTTTGGCATTTATCAATTTCCTTTGTCTTCAGTGTCTTATATTGTGAAGAAGTATCTGTTGTCAGCCTATTCTCTTAGGACTGTGGGCTGTTGCAACTGCCCTATCATTAAAACATTTCCCTTCAATAATTTTTAAGTAAAAATGTATTTATTCTCTCAATTGTAGCTGGAGTTTTCTCCAGTCCTGCCTGGCCCACGGTCAGGACAGATCTCTCTCACCCACCAGTCCCGCAGCCGCTCAGACCCAACCGAGTAAACCAGAGACTTACATTGCTTACAAACTGTATGGCTGCAGCAGGCTTCTTATCTAGTTCTTATATCTTAAATTAACCCATATCTATTAATCTATAAGTTGCTACGTGGCTCATGGCTTACCGGTATCTTAACATCTTCTCATGGCGGCAGCTGGCAGCATTTCTCTGCCTCAGCCTTCCACTTCCCAGAATTCTCTTCTCTGCTTGTCCCACCTATACTTCCTGCCTGGCTACTGGCCAATTGCATTTTATTTATACAGACCGATATCCACAGCACTCAATGAATCTGATTTTTATTAAAGTAGTTTGTATAATTTGTCATGCAGGGAAATTTTCCTTTTCTTTCTGCAGAAATTATTTACAGTCATCTACACTTTGATACCTAGCCCCCCAGCTGTTTCTCTGTGACACCTTGCAGTATGGATCCTTATGATGTCTGTGGATTGAACCCTTCAAAGAAAATACATAATTTTGTGTGATAGGTATACATACCTTTTTTTTTTTTTTTTTTTTTTTTTTTTTTTTTTTGGAGACAGGGTTTTTCCATGTAGTTTTGGTGCCTGTCCTGGATATTGCTCTATAGACCAGGCTGGTCTCGAACTCACAGATCCGCCTGGCTCTGCCTCCTCCCAAGTGCTAGAATTAAAGGGGAGTGCCACTGCTGCCAGGCTATGTACCTTTTTTTTTTTCTCTTGTGGAGAGAGCACCCAAGTTTTCATTAGATTCTCAAAAAGATGCTTCATCTATTAAGATCAGGGAGACCTGGGTTACGTGATCTCTTCTACCTTCCATCAGGAAGCCTTATATCTGTATACCTTTCCAAATCTGCCCTTGTATTTCATTTCAGTTGTGGTGGTTTGAATAAGAATGGTTTTTTATAAGCTCATATATTTGAATGCTCAGTCATCAGGGAGTGGCAGTATCTGAGAAGGGTTAGGAGGTATGGCCTTGTTGGAGTAGGTGTGGCCTTGTTGAAGGAAGTATATAATTGAGGGTGGGCTTGGAAGGGTCAAAAAGCCCACACCTGTCCCAGTGTTTCTCTCTTTCTCTCTCTCTCTCTCTCTCTCTCTCTCTCTCTCTCTCTCTCTGACTGCAAATCAAGATGTAACTCTCAGCCATTGCTCCAGCGCCATGAGTAACACCATGTTCTGGCCATGCCCCTGCCGTGTGAGGATAATGGACTAGCTCTAAAACTGTAAGCAAACCTCCCGTTAAATGCTTTCTTCTGTAAGTGTTGCCTTGGTCATGGTGTCTCTTCCCAGCAATAGAACAGTGGCTAAGACAGAAGCACCTTCTAATTAATTCATTCAACAAATATCAAGTGAGCACTTACAACATGAGGTATTGTGTCACCCAAGTTCACTAAACTGAAAGTTGTTCCCTTTTGGCTGATAGTCTGCATTGGAGAAAAATAATCCATCACATAAGAACATGTTATAAGTGCTTATCACAGGTACGACAACTTTTAGATTTGTGAGTGTCTGAGCATTTGTAGGTGTAGTGTTATTTCCAAAATATCTGATGCCATTGGGGGAGAGTCAGGAGAAAGCTAAGTAACCAGTTAGAAGCCAATGGAGAAGCATAGGGAAGAAAAATTAGAGGATCAACTATGACTGGGGCTGTGTAGAAGGAATGGGAGAGATTCAGAGCATACTAAGAAGGAAAAGCAGATGGGAATTGCTTATTGAGGCATTGAACACAAGAACTCACGGGGAACTAGAAATCAGAAATAGCTGCTGGTTGTTTGGCTTAGGCGAGTGGTTGCCTGGTGGAGTCATTGCTGAACTAGGAACCAGAGCAAAGTTCCAGATCTAAGTGAAAGTTTAGTTCTGCACATTTGCAGTCTTGTGTAGGGATATAGAGCCAGAAATGGACACGATCATCCTAAGTAGGGGTATAGACACAGCAAAGATCTTGGGACTATCAGGGCTTTAGAGGATCATGGAGAAAGGATAAAGTTAGTGGTTGAGAGAAGAGATATGAGAAACAGGGTGAAGATCTGCAGATAAATCAACCAAGGTCAAGGCAGGAAAGAGCCCACGGATGAAGCTTCCTCAAGAGTGCTTTGCAGGGAACAATGGAGTAGAGGCTTCTGGGAGATGTGATGTGGTTTCAAGGAAGGAGGCTGAAAGAGAGAATGAGGGGGCGGTGGCAAGGATCTTGTAAATAGATATATTTCACCTAAAGCATCATGGTGAGCTGTGATGGTAGCTAGAGAGTGTGTAGGTAGGCTGATTGTTTCTCATGTAGTGGTAACTGTTACAAAGTGTTCACAAAGTTCCAAGAAGCTAACCCCAGAACCAATGATTCTGGTATCTGGTAATTAAACATTATTTTTTCTTTTTATTAGTTTTTTTTTTTTTGTAGACACCATCTCACCATGTAACTTTGGATGGCTTAGAACTTGCTATGTAGATCAGGCTGGACTTAAACTCACAGAAAAATCCATCTGCTTCTACCTTTTGAGTTCTGTTACTAAAAGCATGCATCACCATCCTGGGTACATTTTAGTTTTGAAAGACTTATGTTCTAGGTTTTTTTTTTTTTTTCTGTTGCTGAGATAAAACTACTAAAATCAACTTGGGCATGAAACAGTGTCCTTGGTTTATACATCCCAGTTACAGTCCATCACTGAAGGAAGTTAGGGCAGGAGCTCCAGAAGGAGCCTGAAGTTAAGAACGGAAGCAGAGATCACGGAGAAACGCTGCTTACTGGCTTGCTCTCTATGACTCATTGAGGTTGCTGTTCATGCAGCCCAGGACCACCTGCCCAAGGATGGCACCACCCCCCACATCAATAATTAATCAAGGAAATGCCCCTACAGACCTTGTCTAGAGGCCAATCTGGTGGAGACATCTTCTTAACTAAGGCTCCCTCTTCCCAAATGGCTCTAGTTTGTGTCAAGTTGACAAAAACTTACCAGTGCAACTTGATTACTGAACTGGGAAAGAGTTCTTTGGTCAGGGTCTTAAAGGTATTTCAAAACTGAGATGGCTCAGGCACTCACCTGCAGGAAAAAAGCCAAAACTTATCAGAACAGATGCTGGCTCTACATAGCGTATAGGACTGTACCAACAAATAGCAGCTCTGCTCCCGTTGCCAGGTAACGATCTAGGTAGATGGAGACAAGCGGCTTTCTCAGGAGTACTTTGGCCGAAGAGACTGATTTCTAGATTGAACTGGTTGGACTTCAGGGCCTCCAAAGGACCCGATTATGGAATGCAACCACATTGCAGAATATATGTAAACACTTCTGCTGGATTACATTGAAGGACAATTTTATAATCACAAATTTAGGGGCAAAGTGAGTCTTAAGACATACAGGAACAATGAAATACTTTGGTTTTTATCTCCCTAAATGCTAAGGTTAAACCACATGGAGGTGGGGCATACCTTTATTCCCAGCACTCGGAAAGTAGAGGCAGGCTGATTTCTGTGAGTTCAGGCCAGCCTGGTGTACAGTGTGAGTTCCAGGACAGCCAGAGTGGTTACAAAGAGAAACCCTGTCTTGAAACGAAACAAAACAGCTAAGGTTAAAAGATAGTGACACATTTTAGAGGAAGAATAAAATGAACACGACTCATTTGAAGTAAGAATTGTGAGGGCGAGAGAGATGTCAATTTCAAATTCTAGCTTCATTTGGAGCTTGAAGTAGGAGCACAACAGGTATCATCTGCAGCAGAGCACACACAGGTGGAGATTTCCTTCCCTGATGCTTTCTCAGCGATGGGCGCTGGCAGTAGAATTTAAGATGATATGATTTTGCAGGCTCTTGTGTGTGTTCTGTTTTTATAGTAGGTCAGGACTCTGGGGCAGAGGCCCACAGCTGGAAGTCAGTACACTTTATCATTACAGTGCACAGCGATGGTCCATTTTCCCCTTTGGTAAGGGCACGATCTTGCATTATTCCAGGAATTTTTTTTTTCCAGACAGGAACTGCAGCGCATCTTTTCCCTTTTGACAAATGCTGAAAGATAAGACTTCCCGAAGAATCGGCCATCTTTCAGAGCTTCTCCTTGTAGCATATTTGTTGTGATATGTAAGTCTGTCTGGTATACAAATGGACTTAATTATGGTTATTATAACCCCCCTTTATGCTTCTTGGTGACAGCTCAGAATGTCATGTCTCAATGTACTTTGGAGAAAATTGGAATTTAGAAGTTCATTTTGAAAGGGAAGAAGAAAAAAAAATGAGAGTTCTGTGGTATGCAGAAAGTGCTTAATGTTCTTTTAGGAAGGAGAGTCAACAGTATTACCTTTCTTGGGTAAAAAAAAAAGGCATAGATCTGCTTGTTTACTTGGATTCTATGTTGTTATCACTGTTAGGAGATTTTTTTTGGGGGGGGCGTCAGTTTCTTTTATTTTCAACTGTTGCTGATGTTGACTAAATAAATAAACTACTCTACTGGTGCCACCTCTTAGATAGGATGGGAAAATATTCAGATTGAAAACATAGAAGAAAAGAAACAATTTATCTGTAAGTATGTTATTATTACTGATGGTGTTTCTAATTCTCTTTTTCCAGATCACATCAGTCTGAGGAAGCAGGCCTAGAACATGAAGATAACAGCAAGGCCTTGATCATTTTGACCTTGAGCATTTCCCCAGTCCTGGAGGCCTCAAGTATTCCTTGCCTCCGCCACCTCCCAAACTCTTGGCTTCTCAGATATCCCTTCTACTGTTTCCGGCTGCCTCTGCTCTGAGAGTTGGCAGCCTCACTTGGAAGTTCACGTGCACCACCTTGATGACCTTGCAGTACTTGTACACTTACCTTTTCCTCGCTCCTCACTGTTTCTCCTCTGAAATGGAAGACTATCCCCGAGAGTAGTCTGGATCTTTCTGTTTTTCTAAAGCTGTTTGAAGCAACTTCACAAATACAGCCCCTGGGGACCGGGTTGAGGACGAGCAATCTTTCGATGTTCGTCAGTTCTCGGAGCTCTGTCATTGACTGAGGAAGGCATCTGACTCCATCAGCAGTCTCACAGTCAGGGAAGGGGTCTCTGTCTTTCTCAAGGCACTTCTGTGAGAAATTTGGGGCAGAGTTTCAGAGCCTCTCCCGATTGATCCCAACGGTTCGGAAAAGCATCAATTCCTCAGGTAGGAAAACTGCCCAAGAGCCGATTCTGCTCTGATGTAGCTCAGGAGACGGGGCTGCAAATTAAATTCTACTTCTGAAAACCTTCTGAAGCATTTTAAAAAGGAAAATTCCTCCATAAGTGTGCTGACCCGTTATTTCACTAAAATACCTAGAGTCTTAATTAAATCAATTTTTCATCCACTTTCTAAGGTGATCCTCTAGCGGTATCAATGCTTTCCCAACAGCTCTCTAAATTTTCTGCTAATAGTAATGAGATTATGTAAATGAAACCTTTGTTTTTGAATTCTGACCATATCCCTGGTCTCTCGTCACAATATTTCTACCTCATCATGGCCTTTTACTTTGCAACACTGGAGTTTGTAGTAACCAGTCCTAAGATGAGGCTCACCATGTTCTCTTTCTCCAGTCAAGGGCACTTACTCAGTGCTCACGTGGCTCAAACCTGTACAGTGAAGTTGACCCTGTTGGGTCAGGAGGAGGATAGGGTGTGGCCTGCAGGGCATCAGAAGTCCTGTGTATTGCCAGTGTAAGAGGTGATAGAAACGTGAAAGGGCTGCAGGAATCCAGAATTCCAAGAGGGAGGTACTGAAGCAAAGGAGCATAGGGAACAGCTGAGCTGCCTGGGTCTCCACTTGGCATGGGCTATATATTCATTCTTCTTCTAATAATGCATATACTCTGCAATAAATACCTCTCTGAACAATGTACCTAGCAACCTGTTAGCAACTGGGACTCCCAACTGCAGTGAGCTACACTTCCCCCCACACACTCCAAACAGTGTAATAGCTTTCTCCTTTCCTTAATGGCCATCAAACAGACAGAGTCTCCTCAAATGTATCCCAATACATTTGGGAACTATGGAAAATGGGTCAGTCCAATCTAGCCTGGTTCGGCGTACACGTACAACAAGACAAACTGTGTCCTCTAAGTGAACTTTTACTCTTATCATTTTATGCATAATTGGGCATGCATGTGATTAAATTTAGAGGAATCATGGGAAGGGATGTGTACAGTTTTAAAAAAAAGTTATATAATTTAATCTGTTACTCAAAATAAGAAACCACCAGATATGCCCCTTAGCAACCAAACTGTTTCTTTGTTTGAACTCTATAAAAGAAAACCATGAATAATAACCAGGGCTTTTGGGTACTTGAACCCACTCGGCACAGTGTCACTTCTGACCGTACTGATTTCTGAGCTGTACTATTGCCTTGCTTTGAATAAAGTTTCCCCACTCTTTTGCAATACGTGTGAGCTTTTATTTGACTTCTTTGAGTCAGGGGCCAAGAACTTGGGAACAGCCACTCAGACTTTGATCTCTGGCCACAGTGCCGTAACAGTGGTGTGACCTTGCCTTGCATTGGTTTTCCAAGTCAGTAGAAATGGGTTCCAAATTTATTTTACCTGTTAATATGAAATCTGTTAGCCATGGCCTTTAGGCATGTATTTCTTGTTTTCTTTCTTTTATTTTTTTGTTATACTTATTTTTTAATTGAAAACATTTTTTTTTCTTCAGAGCTGAGGACTAAACCCAGGGCTTTGCGCTTGCTAGGCAAGCGCTCTACCACTGAGCTAAATCCCCAACCCGAAAACATTTTTCATACAATGTATTTTGATCATGATTTTCCCCTCTCCCAGATCCTCCCAGATCTTCCCCTCTTCCTTACCCACCCAAATTTATGTTCATTTTCTTTTTCTTAAAAAAAGAAAAACAAACAGATGAAAACAATAAGAAACACCCCCCCCCCACAAAAACAGAAATCAAGTATACAAGGCAACATGAAGACAAAGACAAAGACGAAGACGAAGACGAAGAAGAAGGAGAGTCCAAACAAAGCAAAATGAGACAAAAAGTCTGTAAAATAAACACTACTTAAGTACCAATGAGTTGATTTTGTGTTGGCCAACTACTCCTGGGCATGGGGCCTGCCCTGAAGTGAGAATCTGTCGGAGAAAATGAAATTTTCCTTTGCCAGTGGGTATCAGTCTAGGCATGTATTTCAACCTGTTTGCATCTTAGTATCTTCTGTTATAATATGAACACACATATCTAGAGGATTGTCATACTCTTTTTTTCCCCTTTCTTTTTATTTTATGTGCATTGGTGTTTTGCTTGCATGTATGTCTGTGTGAGGGTGTCAGATCCTGGAGTTACAGTTGTGAGGTGCCATGTGGGTGCTGGGAATTGAACTCAGGTCTTCTTGGAGAGCAGTCAGTGTTCTTAACCACTAAGCTATTTCTCCAGCCCCAAGAATTGGGATACTCTTGATTGTTAACTTAATGGAATTTAGAATCACCATAGAAACAGGTTTCTGGGTATGCTTGTGTGGGGTTCTCTAGGTTAGGTGAATCTGCTCTAGGTATCGAGGGTGTGAAAATCTACCCCAGATGGGTTGAGACTGAAATGAAAGAAGAAAGTGGGCTTGGCATAAGCATTCGTCTTCCCCTCCCTCCTGATGGCAGGTGCAGTATGACCAGCCCCCACCGCTTCTGTTTCCCACCATGATAGACTGTACCCTTAGACTCTGAGCCCCGACTAGCCCCTCCTTCCTGAAATTTCTACCTGTTTGGTATTTTAATCACAGCAATGAGAAAAGTAACTAATATAAGGATTAAATGAAAATGTCTTAACACAAAACCTGGAACACATTGCCCAGTAAATGGCAGCCTTTTCTGTAAAGCGGCCCCGGCATCTTCTTGGCATCTGTTTGTTTTACTTAAGAAGGATTCAGAATAACTATAGAGGTGTCGAACACTCAGGCTACCATAAGACAGAGACACATTTTTTTTTTTTCCTATTGGGAGCTATTGACCTCTGATAGAGAAGAATCAAGGGAACACTTTGTAAAAAAAAAAAAAAATCAAATTTGCTTTTGTCCTTCAGGGAAATAGAAAATATTGAGTTTTCTGACTTTCAAGAGCAAGGAATGTAACAATTTACTCAATAAACACCTCGAACGGATTTCTAGAACTTTAAGAGGCTTCAGAGGTCATTTAGTCTACCTTTTTTACTTAATAGAGGAGACAGCTGAGGGCCAGGAATATAGACCAACTCTGTCATCCCTCTTGGACCATGACCTCCCCATAGGAATACTTTTCTTCTAACCCCTAGATTTTTTTTTTTTTACTATATGTTGTGCCTACTTGTTTATTACAAGGGCCATGTGTTGGCACATGCCTGTGATTCTAGACACTCAGGGGCCTGAGGCATGGGGACTGCAAATTCAAGGGTTGCTTGGCTATATTTGGAGATGTTGTTTCAAAGTGAAGAAAGGGCTTGGGATGTAGATCAGTGGAAGAACATTTGTGTAGCGTGTGTGAGGCCTTGGCTTCAGTCCTCAGCACTGGAGTTGGAGATAGACATAGGGCTAGACAGAGATAGGTAAACAGAATGTCCAACAGCATTAAGCTTTCTTTAGGTGACTATCATGGCAAATTATGCTTCTTGATATAGCTCTGCCAATCTGAATACACAGTCTATGATGATAATGCTCAGGAGAAATGTTGGCAATTTAGATTAAGGTAGATTCCAGAGGAGGAATATTTAGACTCCAAAATTTATCTCTTTAAAGTTTAGAGGGATAGAGGCATATTGTATGATTAGATGTTAGAAGATACAGTGAATGGAAGGGGAAAAAAAAAGAATCCAAACATGTTTTTTGAGGCAGGGTCTCATGTAGCTCAGTTTGATCTCACATTCACTGTGTGGCTGAAGATGACCTTGAACTTCTGATCCTCCTGTACTACCTCCTAATTGCTGAGATTACTGGTGTGTGCTTCCACGCCCTGCATCCAAACATTTTGACTTTAGTAATTAGGGAGTTGGTGATATAATTAATTGAGATGGGGAAATCATTGGACATGCCATGTTTGGTATGCCCAGGAAAATTCTGAGTGTATGTTGGGAGCTTGATTCTGATGCTCATGAAAGAGAGCTACGATGAAGATATAAATTTGGGAATAGTCAGTGCAAGAATATTTATGGGACTGGATGAGATCATCTAGGGATGAGATGGAAATAGAAAGGAGAAGAATGCTGAGATCTGATTCTGGAGAATTCTATCTTCTAGAGGGCTAGCAGAGGAAGAATGTCAGTCAATGAGACTCAGGGGTTATTCCTTGGGGAATTTTTGAAGATGCATTTTTTTTTTGGGGGGGAGAGTTCTTTTTAGGGTAATTGGGCTTTAAAACAAGCAATTCAGTAGGATTGTTTATAATGAAAGAGGGACATGTAGAGTTATGTGGGTGGATAGCAGGGAAAAGTGAGGGAGTGAGGACTGTATGTGACAAAGTCATATCTAAGAATGAGCTGGTAGAGGCCCAAAGAAGACCTGCAGGAGAGTATCTCACGTCCTACTCTTGTCTCACCAGTGAGGCTAAAGATCCCTTGAGTGGGTCAAACATAAAGATGGAGAGGCCGTTACGACTCAGAATGATAGTAGAATTTGAAAGGCTTGGCAAGCTGTAGAAGATGCTCTCTGTTGAAGTCTGTTGGGCTAAAGCAAGTGGGATGTGGTGAGAGTCTGGCCTGAAAGGGTAGCAGTAGGAGGACTGGATTCTATCGGCATTTGGAAAGGAAGGGTTGGCAGGGTTTTAAGACTGACTGGACATCGGTGATGAGCAAAGAAAAGAGGCCTGTGCAGTTTGAGAGCCCTGCAATTGCTTTGGGGGTGATTTTGACTTTTTCCTTATTTTTGAAAATTTCACACATGTATATAATGAAATATAATCATATTTACCTCCCACTTTGCCATCCAGTCCCTTTCATACGCCCCTCCCAAATTCATATCTTTTTTTGATGACTCGTCAAGTCTAATTGGTGCTACCCATATGTGTATAGGTGTGGTGCCACTAACCATAATGTGGGAAACCTGCCAGAAAGATGAATACTTTAAAAAGGAAAACATGAATAAGGAAAGAACAACTAAATCATTCTTCCATGATGTCTCTCTCTCTCTGGGTTTCATGTATCCCAGGCTGGCCTTCAACTCACTGTGTAGCAGAGATACCCCATTTCTCCCATCTCCTGAGTACTAGGATTATAGGCCTGAGTCATCATACCCTGTTTACTCAGTGCTAGGGGTCGAACCCAGAGTTTTGTTCCTGGCAGATAATCACTTTACCAGCGAGTGGAGTTACAGCCCCAGCTCTTCGATGACCCCTTCCCACATTTCTATGCTTCGTGCCAGTGCTGAGAATTGAACCTAGGGCCTTACGCGTGCCAGGCAAGTGCTCTATCACTGAGCTAAACCCCCAGCCCCTGCAACTCATGCTTTACCACAACTGTTAAGAGCTGAGAGTTTGATTTCACCCACTTCGTTCCGTATATTGACAGCATAATAAAAAATTTAGCAAAAAAGTATAGTGAATTGGCTCTTCAAATCTTAAAAGATAGCTAATTAGCCGATTAATGTGTTTCTGTTTGCACAAAGGCCTGTAGCTGAAGCCAAATGATGTAATAAGATCAGCTCAGACTTCAGTTTTTGATGGTTTGCCAGGTGAATATTGACATGACTGCATTTATTTATGAGGTTGCTGATCATCTGAATTGCCCTGTGAGGGCTTGAGTTATTTTACAGCGCCATTCTCTCCTGCTTAACTAAATGACATTAATCTTACCCTTCGGATAGCAGTGACTGTGGGCCAAGTTGAGATTTCTGCGAGTTATGGAAGATGCTTTCAGTGACTGGAATGTGTGAGCGCCTTGCCTGAAAGACCTGGAGTTCTTCCTGTTCCTTAGAGACTAGTAAGCTTCTGAGTGGGCTTCACGAGGAGCAGTCATGCTCAAAATTGCTTAAGGAGAGAGAGAGAGAGAGAGAGAGAGAGAGAGAGAGAGAGAGAGAGAGAGAGAGAGAGCGAGCGCTCTTTCAGGTACATATTTATATAAGCACTCATTACCATATGATCTCTTTCCTAACCTGGTTTGCACTGGTGTATTTCCTTGAAAGGAATGATTATTATTGCTTTAAAAACTCTCAGATTTGGACTCTCCCAGCAAGCATTCTCTCTGAAATGAGTCCGAGTTCAAAAGCCTTGCTATGTATGTCATTTTATGAACTTTCTGAATTGCTATGAAAGAACACGAACTACTTAAATCCAAAGAAAAGCTTGCTCCCCACTTGCACCAAATTCTGATCAGGACGGCACCCACTTAGGGGATTTTAATAAATGTTAGAATAGTAGAAACTTAGACACGGAGCAGAAATGAGATATGGTCCGTTCTGTTTCCTCTCTTTTTCAGACAAGG